AATTATGGCCATTAAATGCATTATTCGATTATCAAAGTGCGTGTTATAAGATAAACCTCTAATATAATAGGTTTACCTGGCAAAAAATAACATGAACATGACAAGATGATAAAGTTATCATTTCGTTGGTAAAGTCCATAAACTCTTAGGAAATTATTTGAATCAAAGGTACAACAGGTACAACATCTAGGCATAACAGCTCAGAAAGAGTTATTCAATAAAATGATAAAGCATAGCCTAAACGATTATGTTCTAGTAATGAAATGGATTCGCATCATCTATCAAATCCCACATCTCAAAATATTGGTTGAGGAGAGACTCATCATCGCTATCAACATTACTAAATACTTCTTCACAACTCTCATCACCTATCGCCGATGGCTGATTAATCACATATAGTCATCTAGGCTCTATTTTCGTTTCTCTTTAATTTGTAAACTTACCTGTTGTAGATACAGATCTTTTATTCAAACATAAATCATCAAGAAAATGTTTTTGTTAACAAGCAGTGGAAGTGATCGTGTTTGAGATGTGTATGAATATAATGTACGAGTGAATGTTCACCTGTCTAGCAGGCCCTAGCAGTTACCCTGCGCGCAGGGTCTAGTTAACTCTACCCTTTTTAGAAGCGAACGCAAATACAAAGGGTAACTGACAGTATTCATCTTTCAAGTTCACATATCACAAGGACATTTCATTGAGGATGACTGGTATGAAAGTACTTCTGATCCCGGGAAACACAGTCCGACCTGCTTGTGTAATTAGGGTCCTTCTCAAGAAAATGGTCCTACCTTCTTTACAATATTTAAGACCATTTTGGGATTTTGGTCAAACAGTAGGCTTTAAGTATGGGAATGTACTAGTATTTACATTTTCACCGACTTGGGAGTGGAGGGATGGCTTAGAAGTGGGTTGTAAATGGGATCCAAGAACAGCCCTCTGTCTCTACTCATAGTTGGAGCTATTGGTGGTCTCTACACATAGTAGGAGCTATTGGTGGTCTCTACTCATAGTTGGAGCTATTGATGGTCTCTACTCATAGTTGGAGCTATTGATGGTCTCTACTCATAGTTGGAGCTATTGGTGGTCTCTACTCATAGTTGGAGCTATTGGTGGTCTCTACTCATAGTTGGAGCTATTGATGGTCTCTACTCATAGTTGGAGCTATTGGTGGTCTCTACTCATAGTTGGAGCTATTGGTGGTCTCTACTCATAATTGGAGCTATTGGTGGTCTCGACTCATAGTTGGAGCTATTGGTGGTCTCTACTCATAGTTAGAGCTATTGGTGGTCTCTACTCATAATTGGAGCTATTGGTGGTCTCTACTCATAATTGGAGCTATTGGTGGTCTCTACTCATAGTTGGAGCTATTGGTGGTCTCTACTCATAGTTAGAGCTATTGGTGGTCTCTACTCATAGTAAGAGCTATTGGTGGTCTCTACTCATAATTGGAGCTATTGGTGGTCTCTACTCATAATTGGAGCTATTGGTGGTCTCTACTCATAATTGGAGCTATTGGTGGTCTCTACTCATAGTTGGAGCTATTGGTGGTCTCTACTCATAGTTAGAGCTATTGGTGGTCTCTACTCATAGTTAGAGCTATTGGTGGTCTCTACTCATAATTGGAGCTATTGGTGGTCTCTACTCATAGTTAGAGCTATTTGTGGTCTCTACTCATAGTTGGAGCTATTGGTGGTTTCTACTCATAGTTAGAGCTATTGGTGGTCTCTACTCATAGTTGGAGCTATTGGTGGTCTCTACTCATAGTTGGAGCTATTTGTGGTTTCTACTCATAGTTGGAGCTATTGGTGGTCTCTACTCATAGTTAGAGCTATTGGTGGTCTCTACTCATAGTTGGAGCTATTGGTGGTCTCTACTCATAGTTGGAGCTATTGGTGGTCTCTACTCATAGTTAGAGCTATTGGTGGTCTCTACTCATAGTTAGAGCTATTGGTGGTCTCTACTCATAGTTGGAGCTATTGGTGGTCTCTACTCATAGTTGGAGCTATTGGTGGTTTCTACTCATAGTTAGAGCTATTGGTGGTCTCTACTCAAAGTTGGAGCTATTGGTGGTCTTTACTCATAGTTGGAGCTATTGGTGGTCTCTACTCATAGTTAGAGCTATTGGTGGTCTCTACTCATAGTTGGAGCTATTGGTGGTCTCTACTCATAGTTAGAGCTATTGGTGGTCTCTACTCATAGTTAGAGCTATTGGTGGTCTCTAATCATAGTTGGGGCTATTGATGGTCTCTACTCATAGTTGGAGCTATTGGTGGTCTCTACTCATAGTTAGAGCTATTGGTGGTCTCTACTCATAGTTAGAGCTATTGGTGGTCTCTACTCATAGTTAGAGCTATTGGTGGTCTCTACTCATAGTTGGAGCTATTGGTGGTCTCTACTCATAGTTAGAGCTATTGGTGGTCTCTACTCATAGTTGGAGCTATTGGTGGTCTCTACTCATAGTTGGAGCTATTGGTGGTCTCTACTCATAGTTGGAGCTATTGGTGGTCTCTACTCATAGTTGGAGCTATTGGTGGTCTCTACTCATAGTTGGAGCTATTGATGGTCTCTAATCATAGTTAGAGCTATTGGTGGTCTTTAATCATAGTTGGAGCTATTGGTGGTCTCTACTCATAGTTGGAGCTATTGGTGGTCTCTACTCAAAGTTGGAGCTATTGGTGGTCTCTTCTCATAGTTGGAGCTATTGGTGGTCTCTACTCATAGTTGGAGCTATTGGTGGTCTCTACTCATAGTTGGAGCTATTGGTGGTCTCTACTCATAATTGGAGCTATTGGTGGTCTCTACTCATAGTTGGAGCTATTGGTGGTCTCTACTCATAATTGGAGCTATTGGTGGTCTCTACTCATAGTTGGAGCTATTGGTGGTCTCTACTCATAGTTGGAGCTATTGGTGGTTTCTACTCATAGTTAGAGCTATTGGTGGTCTCTACTCATAGTTAGAGCTATTGGTGGTCTCTACTCATAGTTGGAGCTATTGGTGGTCTCTACTCATAGTTGGAGCTATTGGTGGTCTCTACTCATAGTTGGAGCTATTGATGGTCTCTAATCATAGTTGGAGCTATTGGTGGTCTCTACTCATAGTTGGAGCTATTGGTGGTCTCTACTCATAGTTGGAGCTATTGGTGGTCTCTACTCATAGTTGGAGCTATTGGTGGTCTTTACTCATAGTTGGAGCTATTGGTGGTCTCTATTCATAGTTAGAGCTATTGGTGGTCTCTACTCATAGTTGGAGCTATTTATGGTCTCTACTCATAGTTAGAGCTATTGGTGGTCTCTACTCATAGTTAGAGCTATTGGTGGTCTCTAATCATAGTTGGGGCTATTGTTGGTCTCTACTCATAGTTGGAGCTATTGGTGGTCTCTACTCATAGTTAGAGCTATTGGTGGTCTCAACTCATAGTTGGAGCTATTGGTGGTCTCTACTCATAGCTGGAGCTATTGGTGGTCTCTACTCATAGTTAGAGCTATTGGTGGTCTCTACTCATAGTTGGAGCTATTGGTGGTCTCTACTCATAGTTGGAGCTATTGGTGGTCTCTACTCATAGTTGGAGCTATTGGTGGTCTCTACTCATAGTTGGAGCTATTGGTGGTCTCTACTCATAGTTGGAGCTATTGGTGGTCTCTACTCATAGTTGGAGCTATTGGTGGTCTCTACTCATAGTTTCATAGTTGGAGCTATTGGTGGTCTCTACTCATAATTGGAGCTATTGGTGGTCTCTACTCATAGTTGGAGCTATTGGTGGTCTCTACTCATAGTTAGAGCTATTGGTGGTCTCTACTCATAGATAGCGTCATATAGTTTACAATTAGACTCTGTACGCGCAGTAGTATCAGATTGCATTACCACTTCAATTTATGGTAAATTTATGGTTTTTATGGTTCTTCTGGGTTTGTTTTTACGAGCTTCCAAATAAAGCCATGATAATAACTAATAAATCTCATTTTTAATATTATCTATCAATTACCAGTCGGCACAAGTCAGGCGTATCCAAGATATTCCTTTTCAAATAATTTTTATCCAATTAGATTATGTTGAAACTGTTAAGCGTGTCTTTTGATCTGTTAAGTTTCTATTTCATGATTTTATAGCTACGCCTACCGGGTTACTTCCTTTTGATAAAAATGGTTCTAATGAGTATAGTTTATTGATCAGCTCATAAATATATGTTCATGAAAACATTGTGTGTGTATTGCATTTTGCATGACATATGTTGTTTCAGTTTAGTACTACGAGATGCTACGAAAGATCCAGTTTTTAAAATAATTTCTTATTTCATTTCAATTTTAGATCTAGCAACGGACGTGTTCTTTCGAGTCTGATGTTCAATTATGTTCTTCAAAGAACGTACTATTCTAATCCTCTTTTACTGCATCATTCTGTTTAACGAGAAACATTTCATACCTGAGAGGCTGAGAAGAAATAAGATGACATGATTTGACGTTGGCACTCAAAAGTGTATCAAGCTATTATACATGAATATGTTCATACGAAGCGCTCGCTTCTCTACTTTTTAGTCTTATTTCGTTCGAACAGTATCGTAATGAAATTACTTGTAAATCAGCTAAAAAGAATTGTATCATAATCCATCTTTGGCATTTATAATTCGGTAATTAAGGCTCGGCAAACATATTTCGGTTTCATTTAATCAAAATGCAATGCATCTACAAGGTGAGCCAAAATAAGGTAACCTAAACAAAGGTTAATAAGTAGTCATGCAGCTTAGGTTTAAAGTATAACATTTGGTACAATTAAACCGTGTTCAATATTCTTTTATTATACCAAGCTTCATTTGTCCATTCTAGTTTGAATAACTTAATAGTTTGAATGAGTTATAAACATCAGTTTGGGTTACTTTTTGTCTCACCCTGTACATCAGCTTTCCATATCCCATATATCTTGCACAGCCCATCGAGGTAACACATTGATATTCTTAATTGAAATATTTGGTAAACTAAACGTTTCCCTGTGATTATTTTCAGAAATGCAACGATGCAGAAGTGTCAAAGAAATCGACATATCCGACCTTTGCAAGAACAGATCCACCAAACTCTCGTTCTGCCAAATCTATTATCGCCCTAATGCAGCACTATCATTGGTCGAAATTCACTCTTATTGTCGGGAACGATGTCCTGATGGTGCAGACCGCCGAGACTTTGATCTCATTGGCCCATAAGAATAATATCACTATCAACGATGTTGTCAACTACACAGAACCATACGTACCATTTGTAAATGATGACCAAATGCCAGAAATCATCCAGAAAACATATCTTAACACAAGAAGTATGCAAAAATCTTATTTTATATACATAAGCTTAGTAACAGTCTGCGTTTATACTTCAACAAGCAATTTTTTGTTTGAATCATCAAGTTTCACTTCCGTACTTAGACGTGTTTCAGGTACATAAAGCAGGTTGGTAAAAACTGCCCGATATATTATATTGGCCTCGGGATACTCCCAATATCCTGAACCTCATATAGGATTATCTCTATGTATTCATTCATTCGCCTTTAATCCAACCATAAGGGCGGGGCTGTTACATTGTGAAATTAAACAGAATGACATGGCAGACATCAGTACTCAAAAACGTTGCACAGTTCAATGAACTAAACGATAATCCCCGAGAACCTATTACAATTTCAGATGTGCACCACATTTAATTTTAATCTCTTCAATTTCAGTTTACGTCCTAATAGGAATCAAGACGGCCTTCTTAGACTTTGTGAGGAACTTTAACGAACGTGGACTAACTGATACCAAGGAATATGCCATTATAGGTGTCGATGATCACCGATATAATCCCAAGTTTACAGCTGGTAGCTTCATAAGAGGTAAATGCAGTTCAAGAATCAAAAGTATCAAAATACTCAGTTGAATGGCGCGACTTTTAGATCTCTATCTCGTCTTATGCCACAGGGGCATTCATTTATTCAACAGAAAATAAATCCAAATCAATGTGACAACATTAAGTGGTTTCAGGATGATTTATGACCTCATCGTCTCAAAACGGCGATCAATTTATTCCCAAATTTAAACTGATCATGTCATATATACTTTACTGCTGTTAAATGGTTATAAGAATACCGATGCATTTCTGTGAACCCCACGCGAAATTGGCGAACTCCATTTTGAAGATTTTGGTAAGACAACTTACTAGGTCACTTCCCTTACTTAGATTTCTCTTTGATCTGCTGGTCTTTATTTTTTTAATTAAACTCCACTTAGATTGCAACACAATATGATGAACTGTATTTTATTGTAAAGAATATCCAGCTGTGACAAAAAGGAGTGCATTCTTTTTCTATTGTTTTTAAAGAATGTACGTCTGGTAAGTTGTCCAAAACCAGTGTGGCATAAAAGACGATTGACTGTCACATGCAGTGCACTAAAGCTGAACTAATTATTCAATATTCATTGAATAGCAAACACAAAGGAAATCAAAAGTGAACTTGGCCTGTAACATGCAATGTACTGAAGCTGAACTAATTAGACCTACTCACTACCCTTACCTCATAGTCTATTCAAAAGAAATCAATTTTCCATAAAATTGGATGATGGACCAGTTACCTTTCGTAAGAGTCAGTGCCCAGTGTGTTGTTTAAGTTAGGTGAACCATTCGTATTGGGTCTGGGGAAAATCAATAGCCTAGGCCTAGCGGCCTCGACTATTATTGCTCCTAAAACTCAACACTCATAGTTTATCCCTAACCTGAAAAAAGGGTCAGGGTCAACGTATACAATGGCATTTAGAAACATGTAATCTCCAACAACAAAGATAAGGTAGATCTTCTTGGCAATATGTATTTATAGAATGGGAGCATGACGTATTTGATTTATTTGGAGGACGCACCTAATAATGAAAATGTCAAAATAGTTTATAAGATAAAATAGCTTCTGTCCGATTTATGTATTGGAATTCAGGGATCTTCTAGATCATGCTAGATTTTGTTATTGTCTGGAAGTACATAATTCATCCGGCGATATTCTGATATTCAGACCATCTTGCAGAGATAGAACAAGCGACTGACGGAGTCATAAGCTCTCATTTTTAGTTCATCGGGCAATTTTAGGAATCCTTTACACCATTCCACGTATTACCTACACGAAAAATACTCATAGAGATGATAAAATAAGTTGACTGTGTGTCAAAACGCAAAATATTTGCTGGAATTATTGTAGATTTCGATATGATCTGAAGACAATCACTTTTCAGCTACTTTCCGGAAATTCGATTTATTTCGTTTAGGGCAAATGTTAAAAACCCGGGTAAGGCGTTTTACAAAAACCAAACGCTAAAATTAAACTACACTCCCAAAGCGCCTCGAACGATTACACCTAATTCTCAAACCGGGTTAAAACCATGTGGTTGGGTTATTTGCATAATTGTTTTTTCAGATATCGAAGATGAAAACATGATTACCAATAAGACAATAAGTGCCTTTAGGAATGTTTTGCAACTGACGGTCAGTCCACCGAGCAACCCTAACTACACCGAGTGGGAGGATATGGTGCGGTCATACCTCTATAAACCGCCGATCAATTTTGATCCGCCATCACCCCAACAGATCAAGATGGGACTTAAAATATTTGTAAGTGCTGATAAATAACTTTTTATCAATAAACTTGGAGTAATCTATAATAACTCAAGGATATCAATGAAAATTTTCCCACATAAATTATTTCCCGGTTTACTTACATCAATTTCTCTTGGAAAAAATGGAAACTTTTTTGTCTCTAACATCAATTTTTCTTGTCGGCAACCTCATGGATACTGATTTTATTCTCAGTTGACTGAGATTTCATAATGTTTTTCTCATATCCATGTGACTGAGTATACATTAAGTTTGTATTTTCACACTGATACACTTATTTAAGTATCAAGCACGCATTTCGTTTTAAATCCAGAGAATTAATATTTTTTAAAAAATACAAGAATAATTGTAATTTATGGATTTGTGTACTTGAGATAAATGTCCCAAAATAAACTCGATCTCATATTCTCCTGCAAAGGGGGTTATGAAGTTATGCGCAACAGAAACTCTTTGAATAAATCAATATGATATACTCTAAGGATGATTTATGAGGCACAAATTCTACATGCATACATTTTCCTGATTTCCAGATCACTATTTACGGAGCACATCTTTATGATGCTATTTTTCTATACGCAAGGGCCCTTGATGAACACTTGAAGGAAGGTGGTGGCCCAAGAGACGGACTGGCAATCTGGAACCGCATGGTGAACAGATCATACTTGAGTGAGAAGCGTTTGAAGAATAGCGTCTCAAAATGACCCTTTCTTTTTTCTCAACTAAAACAAGTTAGCCTAAGTATACTGTCATCGAGTTCCAAACATGCGAGTTGTTTCGTTTAGCGTTAAGAGACCTTCAAACAAAAAATCTTCATCTAATTGCTTCGTTTACGTTTGAAATCATGTTTTTTGCCATTTGTGAACTATTTTCCATGACTTAAAAAGTTCTTTGGGGGTCTTTTCTGAAAAAATAAAAAGTAAGTTTATTGTTTTTTACATAAAAGTTGATACAACTAATTAAATGTAATTAAAATCTAAATTATGTACACATTGTATATTGAAATCAAAAGAAAAAATGAAACATGATCAATAACTTTTGCGCTATTACTGAAACGTGATCAATAACTTTTGCACTATAACTTGTCTTTTCTTCTCATCCACAGGGAATTTAGAGATATGATGACAAATTCCTGCTGGAAATAAAAGGGCTATACTAACTTATCTGATCATCTTTAGTAGGACTTGTTAATGGCCTCATATAATTTCATCCTAATAGATTTACTGATCTTTTACAAAGTTCCTAATTGCAAATTATAATTATTTGAAATCATAAGTATGCCTGTAAAATGAATTTTCTTATAATGCCATTGGCGATTGGAAATATTTATAGTTTTTGAATAACATTGTAATAAATAACAGTTACATTTCAAATAAATAATAGAATGTCAGAATACAGTGCGCAAACTTCACTTTTTAATAAAATAGGATGATAAATCACATATTGTGTTACAACACCATAACAAAACGAATAGAATACTTCCTTAATTATACCTATTTTAATCCTTGGATATATCACTTCGTAATTGCACTAATGGCGTTTATCAATTTTAAACTTATTACACACGATATTGTTACATTTAAATGAGAAAATTCTATTAGGATTTGCATTTTATTTCTCACCTTTGCTCAGAATTTGACGATATAATCGGACTATAAATCGTATAATGAACTAATTCATCGGGAATCATTTTCGCAAAATGTGCTGGTTGTCAGTTAATTACGATACACTTCCGTTGAATAGAAATGATCCTTACCATTAAGCAATTTGTCAGATGAATGTGGTGTTCGCAGGTAAGGAAATATTGCATAAACATCTTTTGCAGATTGCTATAAAAGTACTCCAATTTTTCTCCATATTTTACTTTTACGTTATCTCATTGAAAATCTTTGCTCGTTAAGAACAGAAAGTAATTATATAGAGAACTTCAAGCTTCTCTCACAAGTTAATCTCCCCGTAAATCTCATCCTACTCCCTTGGTGAAGAATAATAGCATGCGTTAGACTTAAAGGAATATTATTCCCAATGATTTATGTCTTGATATACTGGTTCATATTTGTATCGTGAATTAACTTTTTAATCAGTTGTCAATTACGTTTTATTGATTCTATATAAGTATGGATAACATATTATGTTCTAATATGTAAAACATAAATAAGTTTTTATTCCGAGATGAAATTTACTTTTCAAAATATAGTCTCAGAGGTAAAACACCTTACTTTGTCTTATTTGTGATTGTGATGACCTCATAGTGTAGCTATATTATGGTTGCTGTAGCCATACGGTAACTGTACCATTGAATCAGTTAAAAATATCAGGGTGAACGAATGTAGACATTGGTATAAACCTTTTTAATCGGGAAATTACAGTTACAAATGAACTGAATGTGGCATTTAATTTACTCGAAGATCATATCCCTTTAACGATGCTTTGTTTTGGAAAACAATATACTTATGTTGAAGATATATCTATACTTAGATATGAAGAGGGTTTGAAGGAGATGAACTTTGAATTACAAGAGGTAAAGGATTTACAACGGATACATGGCCTCGATATATACCCAACGTATACCTGGTCATGGAAATTAAATCTAAAGACAAACATATTATTTTATACCTCAGTTGTAGATTCCATGACAAATGTTTTACTATCCAATTCATGTAAATAAGATAAACACCTCCAGTCCTTCACGAGAAAAAGTAGTAGGGTGGGCTAAATACTTCATTAATGACTAAAATAAAACAAAACTAATCAAATACCATTGTTTGTTTATAGGCATCCAGGGACATCTTGTTCACATGGACTCTAATGGTGACGCAGAGGCGAACTACACAGTCCTTGGACTACAGCCTGATAATACAATATACCAATATGGAATGCTTCCTGTTGGTTCATTCTTACTGACTGGTGTTGGTAACGGCTTACCCGTAAGTATATTAAAAGTTCCTCCGCACCCATGCTATAATGCAAGCCTAATAGTAATATTATATGATTTGACAATATTATGCATTGTGAAATAGCAATGGTGGAGTCCCTCAAGGATCTCTTCTAGCACCACTGTTTTCTCTTCATTATTTAAATTACAAATTAAAAAGTTGATTTATTGTCTTGCAGATCTATCGTGAAAAGATTGATCTATGGGAGGATGATGCTGAAATACCATTGGACGAGCCGCAGTGTGGATTTGATGGTGAAAAATGTAAACCACTTCCAGGTGAGATTGTTTTGATAAACAAATTGGAAGAGTAGCACAGCATTATCATCCTACTGCTGCTACTGGCCACGTATTGTATTAGCCTGACCAAGTATAGGGTCAAATACATTCCTAATGTTGCCTAACTATATCTAGACGAGGTTGGAACTATTCTTTCATTTTTAGGCTTACGTCTGTCTTTGTAGATTACACAGCTCATATTATAGGCGGCGTCTTTGGCGGGATCATCTTCATTGTCCTTATTGTACTTCTTGTCTTGTACAGGTAAGAGAAAATATTGCATGTACCACGTTTAAGCATATTTTAAACAAATCGTATCTCATATGGTTATTAAAAACAACACTTCGAGTTAGATGTAAAAGAGAGAGGTAAATTCGCAGGTGGCCAGTGTTCCCTGTTTTCTCGATATCTCAACAGCATTTGATTCCTCACCATACTCTCATTTCAACTCATAACACAGAGGCTAAGATCTTAGTGCTAAAGTAAATCTTGCTAGACAAGAAGCTTAAAGATGCAATTAAAAGCCCAAAGGTCATATCCGCTTTACCTCTTGAGTTTCTCAAATACTTATGGATAAAATAAAATAGAAACTTATAAGAAAACATATGGGAGATCAGTCTGGTATTATTCACAATGGGTAAAATCAATTAACAGTGCTTTTCACTTAACATTTTAGAAATTGGAAGTATGAACAAGAACTGGCAAGTCTTATATGGAAAATCAACTTTAAGGATATCAGCATGAAACACCAACATTTCCTCTCTGCAGCTTCAATAGCAGCCGTAAGCAGTGATAGTTTCATGTCCATACATGCAAATAATGAAATTCTAAACTGAAATAAATTTGTGTTTATGTATAATGGATATCGTTATGCAGACATAAATCTTGTCATCCTAGAATGTTATAAACGTACATGTACAAAAAAACATTAAACACAGTTATCGAGTAACAGAAGATTCTTCCCCCCCCACAAATATCACTAAGAGTAATAATTATTATGTGCCTCAATATAATAAACCTAGAATAAACTCACATATGCTATTTGGATGATTTCTACATTCAAAGAAAGTTTCTCCATGTACATCTTAGGATATGAACAAAAGTACTGCAAGCTTTGCTTCTGTTAACAAGGCTAAGAGCCTTCAGCAGATCTTCACTAGGGTGGGTGTATACAAGGGGTCCCTAGTCGCTGTTAAATGGATCTCAAAGAAACATGTAGAGATGACAAGATCAGTTAAACTTGAACTTAAGCAGGTAACTGACATTCTGATATTGTATTTTGTTCGTTTTGCCCATTCCTGTAAGATATTCCAATAAGATAAGTTGTTAGTCTATAATTTGGAAATTGAACAGGTGTAACTTCATGTTCACACTGTAACATTCTGATAATCATCACATCTTTAAGGAACATGCTTCTAGAAAAGAACTCATGGAAGACTGGTATCTTTCACGATAGTTTGATCCGTTGGAATCGTTGTTTGACGGTGTTTTATATGTCTCTGGGGGAGATCGTTTCACAGAGAATTTTTAAACATCATTCTGTTTTCAGATGCGTGATTTGAGACACGATAACATCGTTTCGTTTATCGGGGCTGTGGTTGACAGTCCAAACATTTGTATTGTCACGGAGTATTGCTCCAAGGGTAGTCTACAGGACATAGCAGAGAATTACGATATCAAACTGGACAATATGTTTCTAGCGTCTCTTATTGCTGATATTCTAAAGGTAGGGTTAAAGAAAAAGAGCAAATAAGAGAATTACAGTTTTATATTTTGGTCGATGCCTTTCTGGGCCATCAGAACGTCCATACTTATTTTAAAGAAGCACATAATAGAGTATATAGGGGTTATGCACTGGGAGGTTTTGGATAAAGGGAATATCCCGAGGGATATACAATATATCTTCCCGAGGGACCGAAGGGACCGAGGGAAGATGTATTGTATATCCCGAGGGATATTCCATGTATCCAAACCGACCGTGCATAACTGGTGTATCTCATACTTGAGTGGGTTTAGGGTAGATATAACCTTTTATCCTACACTTAGTGTACTAAATGTATAATAACATTAAAAAATAAATTTGATATTTATTGGCAAAATGAATATCCGGAGGATATCGTAACGATATACTCCGGGCGGAGGATATCGTGACGATATACTCCGGAAAACCCAATATGCGGAGGATATTGTGACGATATACTCCGTTTGTTGATTTCCCGCCAAATTGACTCTATTTGGCATGGAATTCATTTTGCAATGATATTATACATTTAGTACACTCCCTGTAAGTGTAGGATAATAAGAACATCCTATGATTTTTTTCAGAATATCATTTTAATCTACTCGGTGATATTGATATATGCACTCGTTCGCCTCGCTCTCTCGTGCAGATATCAATATCACCTCGAAGATAAAAATGATATTCCTCAAAATCATAGGATATCCTATAATTCCACCTTTTTCAAATGACAAGATATTTATATTTAACATTTTCGTAATATTCTTTTTGTTCAATACAATGAAATTGTAACATTTAAACTTAAAAAATTTAAATTCTAAAATTAAAAAATTAAAACTTTTGATATACAATCTTTTTTAAACTTTTGAAAAATTCCCGGGAGCGGGATGGATATATTATATCTGCCCGCATTTGGCCTGGAGCGGGACATATACAATATATCCTGCCCGGTCCTCAGATATGATATATATTCCCGAGTGATATCTACCCCAAACCCACTTAAGTATGAGATACACAAGTTTATCCCATACTTGAACGTGTTACAGGTACATAAAGCCGGTTTGTAAAATCTTATATTTTCATCAGCGGGCAGATATAGCTTTACGTCCCGCTCCGAGCGGGCAGATTATAGTATATCTGACCGCTACGTCATGATCGCTGTTCCCGTATTGGTTCTTTTTTGTAACGTTCGCATACTGTAAACGACAATGGACAGATGGAGAAAAACGCAGACAATCGCGATCTATCTGTTTGATGCTTTAAAGAAGGGAAGGAGCAGTATGCCCCGTTAATAATCAATGATTTGAACAGGTAAATCTGGCTACGGACAAGAATACAAAACTGGACATGAATAATTTAAAATAATTCCACGGTTGGTTGCAAAGTTTTTGAACTTTGGCCAATTGAACAATGTGATTGGTGTGGGATAAACAGATCATCCTATAGTCGGTTCAGGATATTTGGATTATCCCTTGGCCAATATAATATATCTACCCTCGGGACATACGGCCCTCGGGCAGATATGTTATATTGGCCTCGGGATAATCCCAATATCCTGAACCTCATACAGGATAATCTCTATATACTTATATGAAGTATATAACCTGTTGCTTATTCTACTTATTTACCCTAATCTTAATGACCAGAATACTACAAAGCTCTCATCTAAAGATGCACTCGAACTATTGAACGAGGTACAACAGCAATTTCAAGCCCATTGTTTCAATGTTTTATAGGGCATGATTTATTTACATGGTAGCGATATCAAATCCCATGGTAACCTGAAATCATCGAATTGTTTAGTGGATAGTAGATGGGTGCTGAAAATAACAGACTTTGGCCTGCATGAGTTTAAAGGTGGTGAAAACAAACAACTGACACTTGGGGAGCACGCCCAATACAGGGGTATGTTTTAGTCATTACATCAATGCACGTACACTAGGCATAGTTTTATACACAATAGAAGGTATTATATTATATTTCATTATACTAAAATAAAAACCAATTTGCTTAATGTTAAATGAAGTGGAATGCCTCCTTAGTAGAACAATTTTTAGAGGTACCAAAGGTTTTCCAAAGGTATTCCACTTGGACAGGTTTTACTACAATCTGAATTTTAATACAGAGTATTCAATTCAATAATGACCGATACTTCACAGTGGTCTTCTAATTTGATTACATTATGTGAAAGAATCAACTTTTTGTCAAATTATACTTACTCAGACATTAAATAGTACATAATTCTGTTTTGATCGACAATAAACATTATGAAACTACACTACCGACAATTGATATTTTATAAATCCTCAAACAACATTTGTTTTTATAATCACTCAATAAATCAAATAAACAATACCCAGTATATATGACAAATACACAGAAACAAGGATATCATAATTTATGGATGTAAATATGCTTTACCACAGACATTGCAAATCATTTTGATGAAACTCATGGCATGTATTAGATTTTCTGGTAAATGATAACAATCGAATTCCACAAAAGTCAGTCTAACTTTGTATCAGCTGTTAAATGAGTTAATTAGTATTGGAAAGCATTGGAGTCCATGCATGGGCATATGCCCCGCTCCAGAAGTTCTGAAACCCAAAGGAGGGGAGGGGTGGGGGTGTTCAAGTAGTCTAATATGTGCGACCCAAGTTTACCTGGGCGTTAGACAGATGTATCATACATACAACTTTTGTATATCGAAAATGTGTTAAAGGTTAGTGATTTCACATCACACGACAAAAACACGGCTATTTTGGAGGTTATGAAATAAGTTGAAATCTTGTGTTCTAAATTTGTAACATGTACCGACCTGCTAACAACTACATTTTGATTAAATCGAGTTTAAATCAATTTTCTATTTCAATTATAAATCAACATGAATTGCCAATAAAAATAATTTCACAATAATGTTTAGGCGGATTTTTAATGGATTCATCGTACGGTGGGTAAGATTGTTTGTGAAGTGTAACTTGTATAATGTTAATAGATTGTCTTAAAGTGCTAGTATGTGTTTTTGCAATAGTTTATCCCAGCATACTCTACTATGTTAAGTAAGTAATGTTTGCCTTAAATTGGTGGATCCACGCCGGGCTTTGCTGTCACAAACGTGAACAGTCTAAGCAAAATAGTCTTGGACCAAGGGTGGTGGATCCAAATCGAGGATTCTTAATATTGGAAAAACATGAATAGCACAAGAAGACAATTCGATCTAGTCTTATATTAAGTCTCAGTTTCTCCCTTTAGTATGGTTTAAGGGAAGGTGTACAGACTTGACATAAGATTATTTTCGATCTTCACTGTGAGTACTTGGTAATTGTAATTACGGGGACATGAAATCTGTTTAAAAGCAATAAGGTCAGCCCGACTGGTTTTGAATTCTATAAGAATTTTCAGCCGCAAAAAATTTAATATACACTTTGGCCATCCTCCGAACGCAGGGTTCCAGACATCATCCACTGAGTTCCTTCCTTCTTTCTTTTTGGAAGAAGGGGTACGAGTTCTGGAGGCCTGTGCTCGGAAGATGCACTTTGGCTTACTGTCTGGCTATCCTCGATAAATGTTGCACGTGTGGCAATAGTGATGGTGGTGGTGTTAAATAGAAACCGTTTCTTGTCGTAATTGCTCTTGTGTATGAATCATCCTGGAGGAAAACACCGAAGTTTTTTGGGTATATGACTTTTACCTAACGTCCACCCTGCAATCCATGACACATTTTGGATTTCCAGTAACTCGTTCGAAAAATCGCATGGCTAAATTGTCGTAAAAAGTGTCTGTGTTTTGTTAACTGGTAAATTAAGAATGCACGGAACCTAAACAGATTATGTCCAATATGAGGTGGACATAGCCTTATGTACCTGCATGTATGGCGTCACTGCCCATAATAAAATCTATATCACAAGCTCTTCTTGAGCGACATTTACTTTATCATGGTCCTACACGCATTTAAAGGTGTGAATTTTGGAAACATTGCATTCACTGTGGTATTGCAACATAAATAGTCTTAAAGTAATGCTTTATGAACAAAGAAAAATAAAAGCATAGATTTATAGAAGCATGCATATTGCACAACTATTTTTGCTTTGTACTTTGCATTAGACGTGCATGTATGTTATCCCGACTTGTATCCATTCTTTGACGTGTTGAGGTTGTTCCTCTGTGGTTACAGATCAGCTATGGACCGCACCAGAGTTGCTGAGAATGAACAAACCACCGAAGATGGGGACCGCAAAGGGAGATGTCTATTCATTCGCTATCATACTCTATGAGATGTATGGTCGTTCGGGACCTTACGGAAGCTGCAATATGGCACCAAAAGGTTGGCTAAATTGTATCAATATTCATAATAATTTAAGCATTATAGTTACTTAGCTTGTATTCGCCGATGCAAGTTTCGGCTGTCGGCTACTGGATTAACCTACTGTTTTATGGGCAACTCATCTAAATATGAATAGCACCTGCCACCATTCATATTCGATGTATTTGGTCAAAGAATAGTAGTTTAATCCGGTAGCGGACAGCCGAAAGGTGCATTGGGGAATACAACCTTAGATCAATTGGGACGCTTCTCCAAATTAATGCACAACTCTCGTAAATGACCAGATATTTATCTGCCTGGTAGCTTTTGAATACGTAGTGCCATCTGTAGTCGATGTACTATTGGCACTATTTCAAATCAGTTGCCTTCGTTTCTGTTTGCAGAGATCATTGAGAAAGTGATTCACAGTCGAAGTTTCCGGCCGGATGTCTCCGAGTTGGAATGCAAAGAGATAGTAAAAGATGTCATCGCAGACTGCTGGGAAGAGAATCCTGAACTGAGACCAGATTTCAAAACACTTAGAGATCGCCTGAAACCATTACAGAAGGGAATGTAAGTTTTGATTTCCAAGAAGTTTAGTACATATTAGTAGTAGGAAAAATAGGAATGCTGGATCAGGTTGATCAGGTTGATCATCCCTACCATAGAAACGGGAATCCCCTGCATGGACCTGATGATGAAATATGGGATTCCCCAACGTTGAAAAATAGGAATGCTGGATCAGGTTGATCAGGTTGATCATCCCTACCATAGAAACGGGAATCCCCTGCATGGACCTGATGATGAAATATGGGATTCCCCAACGTTTCTCGAACGTAACACGGGATTTCCTAACGTTCAGACGATTTCCGATCGTTTTCGTGACGTTACGAGACTCTTTCAATTTTTAGTTGTCAACGATCATGGCAAATCAATTTACCTGGAATACGCTTTTATTAGGAGGTGGTTATTGTCGGATAGGTAGGTAATGGGTGGGTAATAAAGGGTATTCCCCGTTTTCCTCAACTACGTCATCGAGGGATTCCCATGTTCCATCAATCTGGTTTAATCCGGTTTCTGACTATAAGTATAAAATAATATATATATTTAATATATTTAACTAGGGGTCAATTCGGTAAAATCCCAAACTATCGTAGTATACAGAAAGAGTCCTTTTCGTTTCGCTCAAGGGTATTCCCCGTTTTCATCAACTACGTCATCGATGGAATTTCCGAACGTTTTCGTGTCGTCAGAGTTGATACCAACGTTTTTCGAATATTAAGACGATTTCAGAACGTTTCAACGTTGCCTCATCGATGAGATTTCCCTCAACATCCGGTTAAAACTGGTTGAAATCGTATAGACTGTATGATAAAAATGTTCTATAAATTTAACTTACCGGGTCGTGCTATATCTAACATGATCCTTAAATACTGTTCATTGTAAGAGTCCATTTTGTGTTGTTATAAACATTCAAAACTAATTCATAGTTCAACGTGTTTCGTACTCCTATACAATACAATGCAATACAATATAATAGAAACCAGATGTTGACAAGTTGGCTGTGGCCAGACGAGTTAATCAGTGTAATTATATTGGGATTATATTACTAGTCAGCTGTATTATTTAAGATATCTGGGTTTGTTTTGTTTAGCATGTGAAGAAAGAAACTTTGAAGGACGCCGGAAAGACGCTATATCACTTAATCATGGGTTCGAATTTGTTTATAAAACAAATCATGGAAAACATGATGATGAATAAGTGATTATTATTCTATAACAATCGATAGTGAACTTGTTCAAGAAATTTTAGTTAGTATGCATGTGAGGTATATGGAAAATGCATTCAATAAACATAAGCCTTTTGCCTGTTTCAGAATAGGTAAACTATCTTGGCTTTAAGGTGCATGTACATGTAGTACTAGTCCTACTATATTTCAAAGCACAAACAACTAATTTCATACATTACATATGGATGTATTTATTACAACTTTTTAAATCAATAAACATGAACATCTATGTACTAAAGTCTGTTTTTTTTAAAAATTTTAAATGTATAAGAGCAGTGATGTTAATCGACCTTTCTTTTACAGAATATCTAATCATTCGCCTATGACAAATCATATTCACAATAAATGTTTCACAGTGTGACAAGAATATTTTAGCCAATCCAAATCGACGTGATACAATTTTGTTTCAGAATGTGGTCCATAACCTTTCAGCAACACTGGTATACTATGAGTGTCACGGTTTTGTTGAGAAAGATAAATCCTCCATATTTTCCATCCAGGATCGACATTGTAGCTACCACCCGCCATTTTGAATTGTGTGATCACCTGAGACCATTCCTGGCTTGACAGATGTATAACTATCGGACCTTCCTCTTCTGTATCTCTCAGTATGTCATTTATACTTGAATTGATGTGTGTTATACTAGACTGTGCAAGAGGTTCTCTCCCCTCAATTACTTTTATGCAGTTCGTAGCAGCGATAGATGTATAAATATTCGGAAAATATGTACATGCTCCAAACACGTCAGCGATCAACTGTTTACTTGAATGAGTATCTGGCTTACAATCTACTAGCACATATTGATATGGCCTTGCTGTAACCTTATTATACACCTCCATAAATCTGTCTTTATTTTTCTCGAATATTCTGTCTGCCAGCATACCAATTTGTCTCCTGTCTGAGGGACATTTCCATAGGACCACATACTGAGCATTTCTGGATATTTCTGTGTTGTACTTTCCCTTGGGAAAAGCATTTTGAAGTAGGAGGATAACACTGGTATTTCTATGTCTTCCTTGAGTAAATAGCTTAGATACAATGGTGGAATCCTTCGCTAGATCCATCAAGTCATCTAACACGATGATATTGTTGTATGAATCATCTAAATTTGAAAGATTATCCTCGTAATCAGGTAGTCCTTCGATGAAATGTATATCTCCTTTAAGGCTTCTTTTCATATCCTTGTAAACGTCTTGATATTGACCATAATACCACATGATTCTTCTCCTTTTGTGATTGTCGTAGTTGATATGATCCATCTCCAGTAATTGCCTTACAAAATATGTTTTACCACTCTGTGTTGGTGCTATGACTAACATGGAGAACTTGTGACGAAACCTAAACTCTGGATAAGGTTCAGTAGTCATAACGTTGGGCAAGTGAGACTTTAACAAAATTTTATTTGTTTGTTTGACAGCTGAAGTTTTTCTTTGTTTAGGTTTATAACTAACATCATGAAACATTTGCTCAGTATATGAGAGGTGACATTCTCCATACTCTGCCAGCCAACTGCTACATTTAGCTTTCTTTAACCAGAGTTGCCGATCAGCGCTGTTAAGTTTATGTACTTGACTGAGATGTGTATTAATCGTTTTTAAATTCCTTTTTCCGCAAATGGGACAGGATTTACGATTCATATACGGCATGATATGTTGCGTGATCCAATGAGCTTTTTATAGTGATGGAAATGAAAGTGTCACTGTATTTTATAGCTTCTTCTAAACAAGTTGGTTCTGAAAATGTCCTCAAGGGGTCATCACGTTTGTTCTAATATGGATTCTATTTTGGTTCTATACTAATTCGCCAGTTGTTCTGTATGATTTTTGTATGGATACTGGGGTTCTCTATGGGTTCTCTATGGATTCTCCTGGGATTCTGAATGGATTCTCCTGGGATTCTGAATGGATTCTCCTGGGATTCTGAATGGATTCTCCTGGGATTCTGAATGGATTCTCCTGGAATTCTGAATGGATTCTCCTAGGGTTCTGAACGGATTCTCCTGGGGTTCTCTCAGGGTTCTGAACGGATTCTCCCGGGGTTCTGTATGGGTTCTCAAAGTACTCTGTATATGAAAGAAGAAGTGGAAATGTCGTGTATGTCATTTGTTATTGTTTATTTGTTCTTTTTGGGAATATTGTATGGTCTATACAAGGCCCTTTTAATTTTCTTCTTTTTTAACTTAGCCTTGACGTTATCATCATCATCCCTATGTTTATGTTTGTATACCTTTGGACCATGCAGATTATGTTCTTCAACATATTTCTTTTGACGCTCAATCTGGGCTTTAGCTCTATCTACCACTGCTTGCATGGGAGATACCACCTGTATTGGTTCTTTAATGGTATTGACAGCTATCAATCTCATTCGTTTACCTCCAAATCCCTCTTGATTGCTCCTTCCTGCTTTTATTATTCTTTGCCACTTTTCAGCATCGTTTACCACGGGTACGACCTTCATTGTTTTCATGATGTGACTCGATTGAAGAACAAGAGGTAATATGGTTGGTATTTTTTCTTCATGACATTATATACTCGGGGATAAATATTAGGTCACATTTGAGGTCACATACGGTTTAAATAGATTATCAAATTTGTAACATGAATGATGTGGTAACCTTGAGGTTTGACTGCTTTACATATATGTTATATGTTTGATCATATATATTATATTCTTTATTATTTTCACAGTTAAATTCAGAATGATATAATGTTTCTCAAATATTAGGTCTATCTAAATAAAATAAAATTCATTTTATTTAATATGATGGTATTTAAAAGAAGGTTTATGTGTCACAAGTGCAATGATACGGGTATACAAAGTCATTTCAAGAGCGTGTAAATACTGGACTAGTAAGCCACACTTCACTTTGTTTATAAACCACTAAAACAAAACAACACAGCGTTCTTAACATAAACAATACTGCTTACCAATTATAAGATTAACTCGCTTGTCCTCGAAGCATCATAAGCATCATCGTGTTACAGGTCAAAGTCTGGTAAGGCTAGACTGAATTACATGACAGCTGATAACTATATATGAGCTTCTGTAGAACACTAAGTCAAACGATATTAAGGGCGTATTTTTGTACATGCTTTTTTGACCGCAGGCAAGATTTTAATCCTAAAAATTAGCTACATCATGGTTATACCACAATAGAATGGCGCTAAATACCGCTGTGTAAAACAATTGAATAATAAACAACTGTTACAATTTCACTTGCATCTCGGTTAAACAAAAATACAGTGTAAACCTCTCTCACGTTGAACTATGAACTAGTTGTGAATATGTATAACAAAAAAAAATGACTCTTAAAATGAACAGTATTTAAGGATCATGTTAGATATAGCACGACCCGGTAAGTTAAATTTATAGAACATTTTTATCATACAGTCTATACGATTTCAACCAGTTTTAACCGGATGTTGAGGGAAATCTCATCGATGAGGCAACGTTGAAACGTTCTGAAATCGTCTTAATATTCGAAAAACGTTGGTATCAACTCTGACGGCACGAAAACGTTCGGAAATTCCATCGATGACGTAGTTGATGAAAACGGGGAATACCCTTGAGCGAAACGAAATGGACTCTTTCTGTATACTACGATAGTTTGGGATTATACCGAATTGACCCCTAGTTAAATATATTAAATATATATATTATTTTATACTTATAGTCAGAAACCGGATTAAACCAGATTGATGGAACATGGGAATCCCTCGATGACGTAGTTGAGGAAAACGGGGAATACCCTTTATTACCCACCCATTACCTACCTATCCGACAATAACCACCTCCTAATAAAAGCGTATTCCAGGTAAATTGATTTGCCATGATCGTTGACAACTAAAAATTGAAAGAGTCTCGTAACGTCACGAAAACGATCGGAAATCGTCTGAACGTTAGGAAATCCCGTGTTACGTTCGAGAAACGTTGGGGAATCCCATATTTCATCATCAGGTCCATGCAGGGGATTCCCGTTTCTATGGTAGGGATGATCAACCTGATCAACCTGATCCAGCATTCCTATTTTTCAACGTTGGGGAATCCCATATTTCATCATCAGGTCCATGCAGGGGATTCCCGTTTCTATGGTAGGGATGATCAACCTGATCAACCTGATCCAGCATTCCTATTTTTCCTACTACTGATGCACAATCGGTTTCTTGTTGGCTTGCCAGGAGAACATGTACGTACAAATTGTCCTATTTAATGATTGAAACTGCCGGCGCCCCTGTTGACTTTGTGTAATTAGCACTAGTTTAGCAAGGTTCAAACATTTTATCTTAGCAATTTTGTTTCAGGAAGTCCAATATTTTTGACAATATGATAGCGATCATGGAAAAGTACGCCAACCACTTAGAGGAGCTTGTAGCTGAACGAACCAGTGAACTTGCTGAAGAAAAGAAGAAGACAGAAGCTCTGCTTCACCGAATGCTACCACCGTAAGAAGCAAACACACCCAAAGAAATAACACATCTTCAAGTACTAAAACCGGACAGATTTGGTTCTCATATTTGAAGATCTATCCTATGCTTCTCATCGTGCTTCTGCGATCGTTCCCCGTTTTACCATGGTTGTACTTTTGCATTTGACCATAATCAAAAATTAATGTATCCATTTTAATCCAAAGTTCCATTTTGTTTTGTAGGAGCGTTGCCAACCAGTTGAAGCGTGGAGAACCAGTGGAACCTCAAACATTTGATAATGTTACCATATACTTTAGCGACATTTGTGGTTTTACTGAACTGTCCTCCACAAGTAAGCCATTAGAGGTACGTTCTCATTATTGAAAGAGGATATTACAAACTAAGACGAATGGCATGACGTAGAGCATGAGACATCAGCCCTTAACGAAGAATTTCATTTAATGTTTTCATTAACAAATTGCCACTAACATGAGTGACCATAGGGGTGAATACAATACTAACATAACAGTCATACAGATGTCTCCTCCATTGTCTTAGCTCTAGACAGACACAGATGAAAGTTTACCGAAACGGAATAATACAACAATCACTTTTACATTTTTATTCAATGCACCAGCCTACAGAAAACATAAATTAACGGTTGGCATTTTATCGATAAATAATCAACCTTTCAATCATCAATATTTCCATGAATCGAGGATGAAGTTTCGTCTGACATTGTTTCGATTTATGGAGAACCTTTGCCATTCACAGTCTCCTTGCCTATGAATGACCCAAGCTCCCTCCCTTTCATTCGTCTCCGTCTCATTTGATAGGAGATGGAATGTTTTATTACAAATAGGTCACGATAACCTGAGTATATTTGTTAATTACTTCTTGATACAAATTAAATCTTGAGTTTTGTTTTCAAACTTCAATTTTTGGTCTGTGAAAAACTCAGGATCCTCTGGTCATCATTCAATAAAGCCAAAATAACTCGCTTTTCCATACAGTTCAGTATTTGATTGACAGATCTATTTTTGCACCTTCCATATTTGGGTGAAATTGATGGCCTGTTATAAAACTTCAAGGTCAAGTTGATCTGGTCTCTCTCTAAGACAAATTCAAAAACAGAATATTGACAGAAATTGATCGATTATATCTTTTATTTACAAAGATGAAACACACCTATAGAATAATTTATCTTCCAAATCATTCTTAGATATCTATTATCAATTCATTTAAAAAGGTTTTGTGGTCATCATTATACTTTAAAATGGAAGTTTTGCTGTATTTTGCATTGGTATTTTGTCAACGAATTTCATGGAAATAATGCTTGTCTTCCATTTTCCGGGCTTCATTCGAATCGTATTGTCCAATAGAATAAACAATTATATAAACGAATAGTCATACATAGAGGGAGTGATCCCACTTGTACTTTTTCAGGTAGTGGATCTATTGAACGATCTCTATACCCTATTTGATTCTATCATACGGAGCTACGATGTCTATAAGATCGAGACGATAGGGGATGCTTACATGGTGGTATCCGGTCTCCCCGAGAAGAATGGTAAACATCACGCAGGGGAGATCGCTTCAATGTCATTGCATTTACTATCGGCAATCAAGAAGTTCAGAATACGACACAGACCCGACGTGATATTAAGACTACGGATTGGGATTCATTCCGGTAAACTCATAATTCCGGGCTCATAATCCATTTTGGCATTTTCCTTTCGTCATCGTTTAAGAATACAAGCATAAAATCAATCAAAATCATATTGAAAGCTGTAAAAACCAAGCAACCGTTCCCAAAATTTTGTCAAAGATTGTCACAAGTCTAAAGAAATGGAAAGTCACCCCTAGTACTCAATACTGTATGTGAATCATTCTCATTGTCATTCTATAAAAGCAAGATGAAGATCTAGAATACCTGAGGGACCAGAGAGCATCAAACATCCCAAAATACAATCTTCCCTCACATGACAAGAACCTTTTCAATGTTAGGGTGCTTCTTCTGGACATATCAGACTATGTTTAAGTTATATTTTCACCTCCAGGTTTTGTTGTGGCCGGGGTGGTAGGACTGACAATGCCAAGGTACTGTTTATTTGGAGACACTGTCAACACAGCTTCAAGAATGGAATCAAATGGAGAACGTAAGCCATTTATATAGAACTACGTGAAAAGTATCTATATGATGAGGTAGGAAGTTTAAGCTTCACGTTTTAAGACAGCTTTAACGTGAACGTGTAGTATTTTTGTCAGCATTTACTTGCCCGATTGACTATGAAAGTTTTTATTAGGTTCCTGGAAAAATCAATTGAGAGGGTAAAGTAATCCACGCGGGTCATATATCTGTATATTGTATATTCTAGAATATCACATATTCGCGTACAAGATGTCTGTCTCATATAGCTTAGCCTGATTATCGTCAAATCCTAGTGATGAGAAACAACAAGATAGTTAATAACGATCATATTTTTAGCTCTACGTATCCATGTAAGCAAAGAGTGTAATGCTGTACTGGAGGAACTAGGAGGATATGAACTTGAGGAACGGGGACTTGTAAAGATGAAGGTAAGAAGAATCTTCATATTTAGCGTCATGCAAACACATAGATGTACAAATGACAGCGTTTGAAAATAAAATTAATAGATATAGTAACTTAGAGATCTTTGTAACCATAAGATATATAGCACAAGGATTACAAAAATTATTGAAAGTTCTAATGTGTTGGTTAAATACCAAATATATACTGTATATGAATTATATTTAGGGAAAAGGGGAGCAGTTGACATATTGGTTAATCAAGGAAAACAAAGAAGTTCGTAAACGGCGAATCACAATCCAACAAGAAACCCAACCAAAGACGTTCCAGCAAGAACCATTCCTAATGCCTACAACCACTTTAAAAACAAATGCTTCGTCTGCCTCAGTGGGTCAAAGTCAAAGAAGTCTAAACACAGTAAATGAAAACAACAAAAGAAACAGTACATCGAGCACTAAGATTTACCCAATGAATGAGAATGAACACAAGGAAGCAAATGGTACAGTAAGTGATCATCAGCACATACCAGAAGTGGTTATAAGACAGCCCAACGAATCCAGCAATCAGGGAAATGTTATAAGTGACTCTAAATTCAAAACAGAAGTTGTTGAAAACGACACTGAGAGTAGTAAAGAAACGATTGCCATGGATTACACTCCAAGAGGTGCTATGAAACGGGGATCTTTGTCCCCACCGTGTGGACAATAGGCCAAGGCACAAAGCCGTTGTCTCGTTTTGCTAGAGATTACAAAACTATTTCACGTATTTTATTTTTTGATTAATCATGGGCTTTCAATTAGTTGAAAGCCCGTGGATTAATCAAATACCATAACTGTACAGTGTACATGAGTAGTATTTATTCTGCATAGTTTAATATATTATTTAAATATATCATAATTTATTTCAATCAGATGATTGTTCTGTTATTACCGTCTCCAATTTGATATAAGCTTTACTTTCAGTCAGCGGATGTTGATATATTGTTCAACCAATTTGTTCTGCATAATCATAAAAATTCATTTCAAAGTTGGGAGAGTCTGAGAAAAAACACCATCTACTCTATAGTTTGTTGCTATTTTCTGATCAGTTGGCATGGTCTAAAACTATTGTTACGAAGTAGACCAAGGGCGTTACAATACCCGGGAATTTATCGGTTCGTGCAGTACTTGTTTGTGATAGCGCCCTCTGTAGGTCACTGTGCTTATAGCCTACAGTAATACGGGGTAGGATATCGGGAATTCGGTCAGTTTCTATCCGTCGATTTCGCTATGAATTGAAGCAAGTGTGACCACTTTATCCACTTAAACAATTTGATAATTGATTAAATATTTAAACAAAATCGATAAACACGTTATACACTTCCTATCTCCTTAGATATTAGCATGTATTTATGGATTGTGTTTTCGAACAAGGCTCGACCCAAACCAATAGGGAAATCCTTATGCTAATTAGTATGACGTCATATTTTCCTGGGGAATCCTAGATTTCAAAGCCTCAGTCTGTTATTGTGTCAAATGTAAACGCTCTTTTGCAGACAGAAAATTGACAGATTAGCTTTTAACTTTCAGCTTTGATGTTTAAACATTCTGTATTTCTACCGGACTTCTTGCTGAATATCATATAATGTTATAACTTGATTTGGATCATTGCCTGATTGCTCATTCTGAAATTTTGATTGTGATTCATGATTGATTGGCAAGAAAAGTAATTCCTATTGTTTTCCAGCGAAGTCAAAATGTTACAGCATGAGTTATAATGTCGAGTTTGCATCATGTTAAATTCTGCTAGTGATTAGAAGTCCATGCACAAGCATACACATAAGAGACAAACACACCCAGGCTCCAGGCCGTGGATGGAAATATAAAACTAGTTATGTATCAGATGCTGGCACAGTTTTGCCGGAAGTTTGCAAGAAGTAACTTTTGGCAATGCAGTATGTTAGATTAACCTAGTAGGTGTAAGAAAATATAAGGTGATGGCCTTTAAAGTGGTAAAAACAATTTTCACGGACGAATTGGACTCCAATTCCTGCGATTTCAGGGGGTACTATAACCCTACTATCACACCAAACTAGTTCTCACTACGTTCTCGAAAACGGGCTTAAACTGTGCACGAACGGATTTGACGTACTAAGAACCAACTAAGAACCGTTTGGGATCTGTTTACAAACTTCATGAAACTACTAGAACGAGTAGGTCGATCCTCCAGCACTTAGAGCATGCTCAACATTTTCTGGTGATCATCAAAACGTTGCCGAATCGGTTTTAAACTGTGTGCGAACTGAATGAACGTAGCTACAACGTTCGACGGTCTGTTTACGAACTTCATGGACTTTCCCGGACGGGGTATGTGATTTAGAATTTTGAATCGATTCAAAATTCGATGGCGACCATACCGTTCTGTAATCAGGTCATGATGACCTTCTAGACTAAGGGACGGTTTATACTACGTTGCACACCGACGTGGTGCGACCTGAACGAACTACGAACGTGATGGACGTATTGAAGACTGTTTATGAACGAAGTAGCTAATTATTTTAGACATATATCCCGACCGCAGCCAGATCGAGCCCGTTTTTCATAACATAAAGGATATAGTTGCTATTGTTCTGCTTTCTACAGCAGACATTACTAGTCCAAAGATGAATAATATCCTAAAGTTATAGGCCAATATCTGTATTAGTCTCAGAAATATTGCAATTAATAGGAAAAAATATGCAATTTTAGTCATTTTTAAGTCTCACGTATCTTATATTTGTAGCTTCCAGCAAAAAATGGCAGCGATTTCAATTTTGTACAATGTATCATAATGAAATCTAATAGGCTGTTTCAATTTACCAACTTTTTCTCGGATCACCCTTACCTTTTGACAAAATGATCTACTATATGACCGATAGCCACAAAAAAATAGCAGAACTGATCAACGTTTAACCCCCCCCCCCCTACCCCTATGTTTGTTTTGTATGGGGTCCGCCACAATGCAACAAGTCCATTTTCAGTGCTTACTATCACATGGAATATAAGTCACAATGTTTCCACAATATCTGGGCAATGAGATAGTGCCATTAAGAATATGTATGCCCAGATTCAAGATCATGGTGTAAATGCTTGCCGATCTATCGGCTTTCAAAAATGAGGAAAGCTGTCTTGAGTGCCGTTTCAACTAATTTTGAATTAAAACTGCTACTTATGAATTTTTTTCACAACAACTGTGATTTGGTTAGAGTCCAAACACAGTATATCAAGACATAGTGCTACCAAATTCTGGTATTGAAAATTTCAGAGCTCTAGATCAATTATTCATATCTGCATGGACTCTTAAAAAGACCCAAAAGACACAAAATGCAGTCAGATATCGCGAAAAAAATGTGATAAAATGCACTAATCAGAACAATTTATCTCTTAAATTTTACTTTTATTTACCATAATTTCTGATTCTGCCTCTAGTTAGTAATACCAATAATGCATATGAGTAGACTTAAGGTCATAGTAAGTGTAGTTACAGATTTATTAGTATCTAAAAATGGGAGAAGCAGTGTAGCAAGTGCAATTTTCACCTATAATTCATAATATTAAACTGCAGCTTTCAAGATTTTCTTCTCTAAAACAAGAATTCCGTGAGACCCCAAACGACAGGATTCCATATCACTGTACCACCAAATATATATGAGAGTAGTTTCAGGAGGTTATATCAAATAATCATTGAACCATTGACACTTAGAAATATACAAAATACAGTCAGAAATGATGAAATTGTGATTTTGAAATGGTTTTGAAAAAATATCATTTATATCCGTGAGTGGATATTGATATTTTCATGAGTGAGCGCAGCGAGTGAGTGAAGATATTTGTATCCATGAGTGGATATAATATTTATAAAATATTTGTGAAAATAATTAAAAAATGTAAAAAGAATTTTGTTTTTGAAAAAATTCGAAACCATCGAATATCACTTTTCAAACCATCCAATATCACTTTTTAAGACGCGATATTCGATAGTTTAAAAGTGATATTCGATGGTTTGTGAATTTTTTGCTAAAATATTATAACTTGATCCACATATCAAATATATCTTCATGTGATATTCGATCTATATCCTTGCAACCATGGGATAATCACTGATATGCTTAAGACCAAAAAACCTATAAAGAATATTATTATTGAATACTGAGAATACATTGTTTTTACATTACGGAGCTTTATTTCTACCTAAAAGCATTTTGGAACATATCTCTTGCTTAAATATTACATGCAATGTTTCTTTCAAAAACTTTCTTAGAACAATAAGTCCATCCTATACTTTCACATGTTATTCTCCATTTCGTTTTTAAAAATTGTGGGAGCTTTAAACTCTAGAAGAGCTTAATTACCAATTATACCATGCACCCTCCGTCGCATTTTTCTTAGGATGGCCAGGCATATTTCAAATTGAAGAGTAAAGTCAGTTAAAGTGATATATAGCTGTATATAACAACGTATCTTTCACTTGATACTGTGATGTCAAGCTTAAGCATTCAAACAGTGTATTTTGTCCCAAGATACAATAAAGTACTGATTTCATTTATTTATCAATTCAGATGCCTTGGAATTAAAGTAAACACTTGGTATATATTACCAATATTATTTTCACTTATTATTGGTGGTACAATGACCAGGTTTCCTTTATTGTCTTTGGTCTTACTGTGCAGTTTGTAAAAAGAAAATTCAGAAAGTTGCAGTCTTAGATGAAAAACTGGTGAAAATCAAAGCTTGCTACAGCTTTTCCCATTTTCAGAAGCCAATAGATCTGTACTTCCACTTACTATGACGTTAAGTCTTCTCATATGTATTATTGGTGGTACTAACTGTAGGCAGAATCAGAAATTATGTCAAGTAAAAGTAACATTTAAGAGATAAATTGTTCTGAATAGTGCATCTTTCATATTTTTCACGATATCTGACAGGTTTTTTGTCCTTTTGGGTCTTTTTAAAAGTACATGCAGAAGTGAATATTTGATCTAGAGCTCTGAAACTTCCAATATCAGAACTTGGTAGCATTATGTCTTGGTATCTTTGGGGTCTAAAATAAAAAAGTCACAGATGTTGAAAAAAATATTCATTAAGCAGCAGTTTCAGTTCAAAGTTAGTTAAAACTGCACTCACGACAGCTTTCTCTATTTTTGAACGCCGATAGATTGGTAAGTATTAGTATTAGGACCTTGAAACTGCTCATATTATGTAGTCTTTGTGGTACTTTCTCATTGCAAAGGTAATTTGGAAACACTGTGACTTACATTTCATGCGTTAGTGAACACTGAAAATGAAACAGCCTATTAGATTTCATCATGATACATTGTACAAAATTGAAAACGTATATATAAAATATGTAGAGTCCTATATTTTAGTAATAAATGAATTACAATGTCAAGTAACAAGTGAAAATGTTAAAAATGCATTGATTTGCTTTCTATCAATACAAGTTTTTAATTGTATGCTGCAAAATGATAACATTGACCACGCCCACTTTCCAGGGGTAGGGTACTATAAAGTCATATTAAAAATCATAAATAGTACATTATCATTATTATAATTGTATTACAATATCAAACAAAGCTTGAATTAGTTTTTAGAAAACAATTTTGAGCTATTTAAGCTGCCATCTTTTGCTGGAAGCTACAAATATAAGATACGTGAGACTTAAAAATGACTAAAATTGCATATTTTCTCCTATTAATTGCAATATTTCTGAGACTAATACAGATATCGGCCTATAACTTTAGGATATTATTATTCATTTTTGGACTAGTAATGTGTGCTGTAGAAAGCAGAACAATAGCAACTATATCCTTTATGTTATGAAATAGTCTTATAGTACCCCCTGAAATCACAGGAATTGAAGTCCAATTCGTCAGTGAAAATTGTTTTTACCACTTTAAAGGCCAACACCTTATGTTTTCTTACACCTACTAGGTTACTCTAACATACTGCATTGCCAAAAGTTACTTCTTGCAAACTTCCGGCAAAACTGTGCCAGCATCTGATACATTAAGGCACAAACTGGTATTAATAGACCGATATGTAGTGTCTGCCATGTATTGAAGGTAAACCAATCTGCATTATTAATGTTTCTTCTATCAATACATGGATTGTGCAATGGAAAAGCAATGGCACAATCAAAAATGTGCATATCAATCGTGAATATCTCTCGGTTCAAAGCTTATTTCCAACAGAATCGTGTCAAAATATGTGTCTGAGTAACAGTTATACATTATAAGATCGCAAACTCTCACCAATTATCAGCCGAATGGCTCATTTTCAACGAAATGTCCTTAAGACATCAGCCCTGGGTCGCGCCTAAGACCAAAAACTATTTCAAATAGCCCTCCCCTAATTATATTGGATAATCACATTTATGCGTGCGCGCGCAGCTCATCCACTGAACGAAACGCCACTTCCCGCTGAAATCACCGGGTATTGATCTTTCCCTTGAGTAGACATCGTTAATGCGACGCAGGGACATACATGAGTAACAATGGTATCATATGACGTCACAATCTACACTATGTAGAAAATGTTATTAACATATGACGTAATATACGTTGTCATGAAACAATTTTCAAAATTCAAAACAAATACATACGATGATGGAACAGGACGTTTGTGATTGTGAAGAGGATGACATTTTCAAAACGAAAATCAGACAAAGAAAAACGTTTGGGCTATCAAGCTGTCTCCTAATATTTGTCGCAATTGTTCTATTCATCGTCGGACTGGTGACACTGGGGTTTGTCATGTACAGAACAGAAACAAGTTAGTAAATAGTCCTATCAAATCCTATCTGGCAGTAATTGTCGTTAACCTGAGATATTTCACTTAACTGGTACGGAATAGAAAAACAGTTCAACAGTGGAAACCTAGTTCTGTTTGAGAAATAGTATATTACGAAATACAAGTTAGCAAGGTTGTCTAAAAGCACAAGAACAACTTTAGAAAATCAAGTTATATTACTTTCTTTTCAATTATAATCTCAAGTCTGTCGTTGACTGACGATAACCGTGTTGATTCGATTTATTGTGTTCTAGTCACATCGAAGAATGGAATGGAAAAGGATAGGGCTGGCGTATCTGATGTTGCGAAAACGAAGAGAAAAGCAGTGATTGACCCAAATGAAAACAAAATCAAAGTAATCGAGGAAACCAAAAAGAAAGATATCTCTATTGCAATTAATCAACCGAAACAAGACAAGATTACCAATCCCACCGATAATGAATCACCCAAAGTCGAAATGAAGTGGTTGAATGATATGTTGACTAAATATGGAATCAAAAACAAAGTCCCATCGGCTGATAAAAAAGTTAACATTATCGATGTGACAGATGAAACGTCCAATCATTGCTATAGTTTCGGAGCTATTGCTGCTATAGCAACGGTTTCAGCAATATCAACGTCATTTATTATATTGATAATGTTCGCGTATGTATGGAAATCAAATTGCAGTTGTTGTCGTAAAAATTTCACGCCTCAAAGATGGTGGAACTCCCAACAAAACAAACCCCTCTTTTCATCTAGATTTTCACGTGGACCTTTTAGTAAGGTGAGATTCGAAAATGAAGCTACTAAATCCAAGAATACTGGTGGCGATGAAGATCAAGATGCAGAACTGGAATCATTTCTAAACTTTCTCACGTCCGATGGAACAGATACTAATTAATACTAATTAATACTAATTAATGAAGAAGTGCCATCGAATTATCAGATATAAAGAACATTCATCCCTGTAATGATTTCCTGAACTCAGTTCAAGTATGTCCAGTTATTTTTTATTTTCTTGTTGATTTGAATAAAGAAACAATAAACATTAAACTTTTTGTTTACATTTAACACATGTACTGTAAGAAAATGCCTAAAGTGTTATGATGATGCTGACCTTAGTGCAAACAATAAAAAAGATAAATCACAAATAGATTTTTCAAACGATCAGCTCCTGGCCATTCTTTCAACTGATCTGCTCGACTGTTGAAGAGACAATTAGGTTAGCTCTGAATAAAGTAAAAATACTATCCATACTATTAACACACCTTTTGATTATGAGCAATATCAAAAAATTCTCATCCGCTAGGAAACGACATAACAATGGAATTACGTAATGATGAAATGAGCGATAATGATCGAACAACATACACACAAAAATACACAAATTGATTTGGAATATCTGATTATCAACAGGGTAAATGGAGAGACACTACATCATGAGACAAAATATAATTGAACGGAAATATAAAACAGTTGTCGCCTGTCTCATATTTTTAAACATCTTTATGATATTTATATTTAATGTACATCTAGTGACACCAGATCGTTTGTCAATTACATTGGATTCAAATTCATATTTTACATTTGAGGAATTGAAGTTTAAACCAAGTCCTACCAAAAAGGTAATTGAAAAACACATAAATGATGAGGAAATTAACCCTAGAAGTGATATTATAAAACGTAATAATAACATTAGAGATGATAAAATAAAAAATATTGATGACATCAAACGTGATGAATCGTTTGATGACGTGGTGATCAAATCCCAATATGGTAAACTAAGTGACATATTTGAATTCAACTGGAACGATTGGGATAGACGTTTTAATGATGTCTTAGAGGAAAAGGTCAACTCAGCAGAGACTATTTACAAAGAATGTGAACATGAATATCGTCACACCAATCACAATGATTTGTTTTATGAATGTCTAAGAAAGATTCCGAATAGCAACGCTTGGTTGGACGGTAAGTGCAAAGGATGATTTTTATGTCACTTCCCAAAGTGGTGACGGCGTTTGGCGTCTGGAGGTATGTGACCAAATGGCAGGTGGTGACATTTTCCATGCTAATGCCTTGTTTTAAATGAAGTATCGATTTCTTATGGATGGTGCCCATATTTTTTCATATTTCTTTTTATCTGGTTCTTCAACATGTGTTTCATCTCCCTGCTTGTGGTTTTCATATTTTTGTGCAATCTTCTTTATATTTTATATTAAAATGTTGTCATGTGTCTTTCTTTACTCATAAACATACAATTGTCATTGTCTCTCATTTATTTCAGATATTCCAAATATACCTTCAAATCCAAAATCCTATTTCGATACCAGCAATAAAACGTACGTGATATTGTTTGCATATGAACGCACTGGATCATCATTCGTTGGACAACTGCTCTCTTTAAATGAAGACTTTGTGTTTATGTATGAGCCATTACATTCACACTCCGCAAGAGTAAGTGCGTCTATATCCTAAAACTAATTAATTATATTTTTAATAAATTAATGGCAGTTTAATGAACGTTATCATAGCGTTATGGACTCCTGGGTTATATGGACCGTCATTTGTGTGTATATCTTAGTTTTACTTCGGTCCAAAGCCTTCTCTATATTCCGGCTTTGAGGAGGAAGATTGAGCTGCCTTAGTATTATAAATATTGTAAATCATTGTGTCACACGCACAGTAAATATGGCATAATAATATGAAATATACCTTTATGTATAGATTTGAAGAACATCAGCTCGCATCCCCGTCTGAATCTATTGTTATATTTGATTTCTTTAAGCGAGAATAATTTCAAATGTTATTCACGTCCAGAACCGGAAGCCATTTTTAGCTACAGCGAGAAAATTTCACCATTTGTCAAACTCCGAAATGAAATTTTGAAATATCTAAATCCAGACAAGCAACGCTTCATCCTAAATATAATTAATATTCTTAAAAATATTTATAAAATTTATTAAAAATGAGTTCTAGGTGCGTGTAGGTGCGTGTAGCACAGTACATACGAAATCAATGAAGTTTCGTCTAGCTGTAAGCTACAGGCCTGTCAACTGTCCCGCATTTTGCGTATTTGTCACGCATTTGCTGAAGAATTTGAAGTCACGCCAGTTATTTTTGCGTGACAGAAAATGTCACGCAAATACGCATTTTACCTGGTAATTGTCAAGCAAAAATATTTCTGCAGAAAAATTTCTAAAAAAGATCGACTACACAGCAAAAATACGAACGCCGGAAAAAAATGTACGCATTTCGTTCGGACTTTTCACGCGAATTATGTATATGTCACGCATTCCGTTCGAAAATTTTTTGATCAAGGTGTTCAGATTTGGACCAAGGTGTCCACATTTTGAGGGGAGGTGTTCAACATTTCCAAGTCACTCATGTTAGGTGTTCCCAAGTTGACAGGCCTGAAGCTAGAGACTCGAGTAATCTTAGTTCATCTCTTCTGTGTTTATGTAAAGGTTTTGACGTTGTTGAGAATGTGAAAGTTCAATTTCAGCGCCACATTTACACATGCGTATGTCATATTTCATTAGATTTATCATCTTTTACTTTCAGCCAATGTCATTTCCAAGAGAGCTAGACACTCCGTTGAACGCTACAAGCGATCTAGAAGCTCTAATCCTGAATGGTATGCTGACATGCAATTTTTACCAGATACCCGCAAATTCTCTTGTTTATGCAGACAGGAATTACTATGAAATCAAAAATGCACGTAATAAGGTTCTTCAAGATTACTTCGATTGCTACATAAGCTATGGGAAACACTCACCCTGTATGTCTTTACTTAAAGACATATGCCAAAGCAAAAAGGTAAAGTTATACCCGGGAAGTTATGATAATAAATTCATCGTTTCAATGCATAATTCGCCCGAGACAGGGATCTCACAATGAAATTTTGACCACGGATAGTATACTTTTCAAAATACTTCTTAAGATTATCTTCCCATTTTAATCACCATATTAGTAAATTTCTAAAAGGTTTCTGACTTCCTATTCCTTGTTTGTATCCAGTTTTATTTATTTTCTCAAAAGTTTTACCAGTTTTATCTATTTTCTCAAGAGTTTTACCACAAATAATATGACAAAAATGTAAAATAAGGCTCCGGGTAAAAACCTTTAAACTACGGAAAAGCAATTAGACTCTGAAGCAAGAGAGTATAAAGATATTGGACTACGGATTCTCCGGAGTCTAAAAGCCTAGTGAGAATCCTGCTAGTATAGACCAAGAAGCGATCTGTATTTTCAATTGATAAATTCAATGCAGCCAAATCTCACTCGATATCCTTATGAATTGATAGGTTTAATCTAGAGCCGAATGCATGATTCAGTAAAAACATAAAATGCACCCTAATAAATTAAAAGGTTCAATGCATGAACAGGTCTAACCATGAAATGCATCTTTATGAATTAAAAGGCTCAATGCATGAACCGGTCTAACCATGAAATGCATCTTTATAAATTAAAAGTTTCAATACATTATTCCGAGTCAAACCATAAAATGCATCCTTTTGGATTAATAGGTTCAATGCATTTGGTGAATGCATTTGTTATTAAAAATGATAGGGTTTTGAGGGGTTCCTCTTTGGAGGAATAAAGTTGGGACTCATGGAAAATGTTCATGTGCAAAAAATGTTCCTGGTAGTAGACTATTTTATTTATATTTTAATACTATTTTACTCGCAAGAATATGTTTTCATTCTTCTAGGTGGTCTCAGTTAAGACAGTGAGAGGTACAATGGAGGGTGTAGCAAAGCTCATCTCCAATGGCATGCTCTCATTGAAACACACCAAAATTCTACACCTCATGCGTGACCCACGACCTCACTTCCTGTCTAGACTAGAAGAACAGTGGACTCATCTTTACCAAAAACCAGTTGATAAAATCAACAACATAACATCACTAATGTGCACAAGGATATTGAAGGATGTACTAATAAGAAAAAAATTGAGTCAACAATTTCCAAACATGTTCCGTGAGATTGTTTATGAACATGTTGCATCTCATCCTTGGTCAGTATTCACAGATATCTATGGGTTCATTGGAGCTCAAGTGCCAGGGAAACTCAAAAAGTTTGTAACAATCATGTCAAATTCATCAGAAGCAATATCAAACCTCTGGAAGACACGTTTGAATCCAAGGGTCGTGAGGGAGATTGATAAAAGATGTGTAGCGCTATATAATGAAGTTGGTTATCTACCTATAGGGGATGGATCCGAGTTATTGGATATGACTCAGGCCATACATAGAGACTACAGCATGTGGCAGTAATGCAAGTGCACGTTATATGTAAAATATAAGACAAGTGAAATAAATGTAAATAACATATATTTTAGGAACAATCGTTCCATTCTGTTTTGTATAACAAATTGTTAACAATTACAATCTTTTGCTGTTAAAAGTGAGTAAAACCATTAATCTTTTAACGACACAGACATTTATAATGAATAATCTTATAATAAGACAATATCATGATAACTGAGTACATGCAGATTGATTTTATTTTTGTATATAGAATAAGATAAACCTTGCATTCAGAAATGTTTATTGTAAAAGGAATATGACAATTAAATTTACAGTACAAACAAAGGTTATTTTCTTTGAATGCTACTATTTGAACGCATGAATGAATGTAATTCAATCTTCACGAATTAATATATTGCTATGTGGAATAGCTTTACCAGTAAAATTGTTTCATTGTATGAATTTATAAGGATCATCAGTCTCCTGTTTAAATGTATTTGATATTAGGTGTCCACTCAAAGATGTCTCAAACTATTCATGTAAGATGGTTGCCATGGTGTAGATTACTAGACTATATTCTCAATCTGTATGGTTGCTACTATAGCTGTTAAAGTGGGGATAATCCTCAGTTCAGTAAAGTGGAAGTAACCCTTAGTTCAGTTAAAGTGGTAGTAATCCCTTCCTTCAGTTAAACCTAGTGAGGCCAGATTTTCTTCGAAGCTTCCACTCGTCAGAGCCTGAAATACATAAATTGCATTTTGAATGCTGCATTCAAATGATACATCATGAGATAAATTAAAACATATATATGATTACTTCTGGTGAAAATGTTTGAACATGGATATTTTTCAAAGCTACGACTCATCAGAGCCTGAAATACATGAATTGCATTTTGAATGTTGCATTCAAAGATACATCATGAGATAAAGTATTAGTAAAGCAGGTGATAGTTGTTTACATTCATTTATGAATTTTCAGTTTCCAATTTTTCAGCATTAACCAGCTATTATAGCTCATGATGAAAAGTTAAAATATACTTCAAAGCTCCCACTTGTCAGAGCCAGGAATCACATTTCCATTACTCAGGGTTCCTTCATCTTTCTCGAAACGAAATTCTATGTAATTTCAGGCAAAGAAGAAACCTCAAGGTCTCCATTAAAATCTCAACAAGTATCATTCATAGTTCAAGACCTAATATGAAGCAATATGGCCTCCACAAGAGCAATATTTGTAAAGGTAGATAGATAGGTTTGAAAGGGCAATCATAATCAACATTAATCTGCAAGAATTTGATTTGAAATAGTGTCCTAGAGCCTATGGCACAGGGGGCGCTATCACCTATGCCATAGGATTGTCATGGCACCATGCGATGCTTTCTACTAACCCAAAACAGGAAAGCATCATGCATGCTCCCTGGTCATCTAGTATACCATATACCAGTCTTTACATTCATTCAATTCAAAGCAATATAGAAACTAGGCTAGCTCCCAGGGTTCAGTTCTGCTTTTCAACTCAAATAACAAATTAACTAATTTTCTTCCATTTCAAAATGGATATTTTGTTATTTCATTTTTGTCCTTTTAATGTGTCAACCTATATTTTATTCTATTACAATATTAATCACATGTCGCCTCTGAATGAATAAATTGATCATGAAAGTAAATTGAAGAGTACTGAATGCAAGTCACGTCACCATATAGTATATGAATAACTTGACAGTACCATTCATACTATTTACTTGACACGAAAAACACCTATTGAGTATTTTAGTTTTTAAAACTAAAAAACATGAACAGATAAAATAAATATTCTATTCTTTTAGTTCTACAGCAAGTAATAACCATAGCCAATTCAATGATGAATTTATGTTTCGCAACCTTTTCAAAAACTGATCTCAAAATTATAAGGTATTGAAATTTCATGTCTTAAAATTTATACAAAATGGTAGGAAGGATCAGACATCTGTAATAAAGTTCTTTCAATTATGCATCGTACTTTGCATGTAAGAACAATTTGGCTTCATTTTTTATAAAATAATTTTGAGATTGTATGTGTGTAAGGTTTACAGCTGCCGTAGGGACAATTGTGACCATGCATCCGTATGGAAACCATAGTTTTTTCTGTCTCGACTGCCGTACGACTACCATAGCAAATGTGGCTGCTAAAGTATCTGACCCTAGACCTTCCTATAGGCAGCTATAGAATTGCCATTGGCCATAGAAGTAATAGACTGTATGGGTCCCCGTGACTGAGTCACATACAGCGACCACTATTTCAACCAAGATTTCAAACCTCATGTCAAGGGTCTAATGTTTTTCATAAATTCACTGGTATTGAATGTGGTAAATTTAAAGGTGATATTTAATAATTTATCATGTTGAAGCCTTTTATATTTTGTATAATATCATTCCATGTTCATATATGTGTATCTGATTCAAGCAACAAAAGAGTAAGTTTTTATGAAAACACTGCACTATATAAACTGAGGGTTGAGCTGAACGCATCCAAAAACAAAATAGAATGGCTGAATCATATAAGAGCATCCAGGTAAATTATATATATATATATATACGTAATTAGTAAAAGTTTTTGTTGTACACAGCGTCCGTTTTGTTATATGATAAAAAGATAACGTAATTATATGAAAGTGTGAATATCCACATTTTCATTTTCATATACCGTACATGTGCATACAAAAATATATATAAAACACATGCAACATTTATCTTCATTATTTTGAATGACTTCTTCACTTCTTACTTCTTACAATATTCAGTAAGATATAACACGGATATTTTTAGGATAATCCATTTGATTTTACCTATCAATTACATCCAGAATTGGTCCATTCATATTTCAACCAAATTAATTTAGGTGAGGGATCTCCCATCAATATGGGTGAGAAAGATGATAACAACAATATTTGCTTGGGATCTTGATAAAGATGGAGTTGCTGGATATGATGACCACATAAGGATGGCAGAGAGAATTGCTGAAATTGGTAAGTTTTGGGCTGATCCAAAAGTACAACCTTTTAAATTTTGGAAGACTTCTTAATCACGGTAAATCTCTTAAATTGTCTTGTATACTGTAATGTGTAAAACAGAGATTTAGGAGAATCATGTTTCCTATCTAGACATGCTAAAAATCGATCTCTTTGCCTTTATTTGTGTTAAATTCAGTTTTTTAACAAAGTAATCAAGTTTATATTGAACGTAAAATCAAAATAAAAACACAAAAATGACATATTTTTCTGAAATGTAGCGTATATAGTAGATATTCGTATTTGCTTTAAGATTTATGAGCATGCTAACTACCATTTACTGATTCAAATAATCTAGAGTCAAGATTTATATAATGCATGACAAAGATCTTGTTCGTAGTTCAATGGATTAAACTTTAGTTCACCCTATTGATAGTCCCCAACTACCAGCACTTTGGCACTCTGTAAAGTTTCACATTAATCTCTTTATTGAGAAAATCAGGCTCAAATAAACTTATTTCAGGTAAATTAAATGCAGAAGCAAAAGATAAATTATGTTGGTATGTCAAAGAATATGCTGACTCAGGTTTTGATGGTATCAACAAAGTGCAAACTGTTACTGAACAGCTTCTGCTAGCATGGTCAGACAGAGAGGACCCAAAAGCAGTGCAAGGATGGAAGGATTTTTTCTCTAACCTGTTCAAGGTAGTATATTGACCTTTTGCGATCAGAAATCAGGGGGAGCTTAACTACTATCGAAATCATGTCAATAAGATCTTACACTTGGCATGTGCAATGCATGTTGATCTCGTCCAATTGCATACTTTCGTGAGAAATAAATCAATAAAGTGCGAAATACAGAAGATGATCTCTCGAAATCAAACAGCAATAGCAGTGTGACCTAATTGTGACATCACTACAAGATAGAATCCATTTGGTGATCGCAAATCATCAATTCAGCATTTTATGAGGTCACACTATTAAGAAACTAGAAAAACAGCAACTCCACGGAGTAGCAAAACATATTTAGATTATTAGTGGCCATCTTGAAAATTCCTTCTTGAGCAGAGCTTGTTTGTCCCTAAGCATCAACATATAAAATGTAAACCATATCCATAAATCAAAATTTGAATTATCAAAGATTACATTCTTTTTTACTAAAAATGGCGGCCATTTGAAATTCTGCAGTCATTTTGAAAATCTTTCTCAAACAGAGCTATAGTGTCCCTAGGTATCAGCATATAAAATTTGAATTAAGAAAAATGGCAACCATTTTGAAATTCAGCTGCCATTTTGAAAATTCTTCCTCAAACAGAGCTACTGTGTCCCTAGGCATTATCATATAAAATTTAAAACAAATCCGTTCGTTAGTATTAGAGTTATCAAAATTTTATGTTTTTTTTACGAAAAATGGCCACCATTTTGAAATTCAGTGGCCATCTTGAAAATTCATATTTGAACAAAGCAACTGTTTCCCTAGCCATCATCATATAAAATTTGAACCAAATCCATTCACTGGTATTTGAGTTATCAAAGATTATGTTTTTTTTTAACGAAAAATTGCCATCATTTTGAAATAAAACTGCCATCTTGAAAATTCTTTGTGGAACATAGCAACTGTGTCCCTAGGCATCATCATATAAAATTTGAACCAAATCCGTTCACTGGTATATGAGTTATCAAAGATTATGTTTTTTACGAAAATTGGCCACCATCTTGAAATTCAGCCGCCATCTTGAAAATTATTTCTTGAACAGAGCTACCAAATCTGTTCACTGGTATTTAAAAATGGTGGCCATTTTTCGTAAAAATATGTAATCTTTGATAACTCAAATACCAGTGAACGGATTTGGTTCAAATTTTATATGATGATACTTAGGGACACAGAGCTATGTTTGACAAAAAATTTTCAAGATGGCCACTTAATTTCAAAATGGCGGCAATTTTTCGTAAAAAACGTAATCTTTGATAACTCAAATACCAGTGAACAGATTTGGTTGAAATTTTATATGATTATGCCTAGGGACACAGTAGCTCTGTTCAAGAAATAATTTTCAAGATGGCAGCTGAATTTAAAGATGGCTGCCAATTTTCGTAAAAAACGTAATCTTTGATAACTCATATACCAGTGAACGGATTTGGTTCAAATTTTATATGATGATGCCTAGGGACACAGTTGCTATGTGCGAAACTCCTTTGTCCCTAGGCATCAGCATATAAAATTTGAACCAAATCCATCAACTTGTATTTGAGTTATCAACGATTACATTTTTTACGAAAAATGGCGGCCTACACTCATAAGGCATAAGCCTATAAAATTTGAACCAAATCCATCAACCGGTATTGGAGTTATCGCCCGGACACACAGACAAACAAACGGACGGACGGACGAACGGATGGACGGCTTCTCTATATCCCCCTCAAACTTCGTTCGGTGGGATAATCAGACACTAGAGTAATGTAGTAAGAGCAGAAATAAACAGAGGTAATAATTTCATTAATTAATTGATGTGGATGTTAGAGTTTTCTGTATCTTTTTCAGGCTCTTGATTTAAACTCTGATGGTGAAATAGATTTTGATGAGTATCTGATATATTGGAAGGCAATGGATCAAGATCCTAGATTAGGAAGATTGCAGTTTGACTTCATGGACACAAACCGTGATGGGAAAATATCCGAGGAAGAATTTGTTGAGGCAAACATTGATTATTTCGTTAACACTGAAGATAACAACAACAGGATTTATGGGCCTCT